GTGCATCACCCTTCTTATGAATTGGCACCAGAACACTTTTTCTCCACTCATCAGGCATCTTGCCAGTCTCTAAAATTCTGTTAAACAAACCAGTCAGGAAATTTACTGCCACTTCTCCTAAACACTTCCATACTTCCACTGGTATGTCATCAGGACCAACTGACTTTCCACTCTTCATCCTCTTCAGGGCTTTTCTAACTTCATCCTTTCTAACCTGATCTACCTCCTTCCTACTAGTCTCTGGTTCCTCGTTTCTACTTTCCCTTTCATTTTCCTCATTTAACAACTCCTCAAAGTATTCCTTCCATCTTCTCAGCACACAAACCTCACTTGTGATTACGTTCCCCTCTCTGTCCTTAATCAACCTCACCTGCTGCACATCCTTACCCAGCTTGATTTCTCTGTCTCACCAATCTAAACAACTCCTTTTCTCCTTCCTTTGTGTCCAAACTCTCGTACAACTCCTCATATGCCTTTTGTTTAGCCTTGGCCACTTCCCTATTCACCTCCCTTGTCCTCTCTTTGTACTCCAGTCTGTTCACTTCTGTTCTGTCACTGTCCCATCTCTTCTTCGCTAATCTCTTTCTCTGAACACTCTCCTGGACCTCATTATTCCCCCACCAGGTCTCTTTGTCCTCCTTTCTCTGCCCAGAGGACATACCTAGCACCTTCCTACCTGTCTCCCTAATCACTGCAGCTGTAGTCTCCCAATCATCTGGGAATTTCTCAACACAGCCCAGAACTGCCCTTACTTCCTTCCTGAAGTCTTCACAACATGTCTCTTTCCTTAGTTTCCACCACTTGATCTTCTGCTCTGTCTTCACTCTCTTCCTTTTTGTCACCTCCATCGTCATTTTACACACTACCATCCGATGTTGTTTGGCTACACTCTCACCTGCCACCACCTTACAGTCTCAATCTCAATCTCAATCTGATGTTTATCAGTTATAATGAAATATTTTATAATTCAATTCTGTAACATTAAAACAAGTCTAAACTTAAACTAAATTATAATATTATTTATAAAGTGACAGACCTGGAAGACTGGAGGAGCTGGATCCTGACTTGATAGAAGAAGAAGAGAGTGATGACCAATCATAGGCCGCCTCTGTTCTCCTCATGGCCTCCTGGTAGTTGATGTACAACTGTTTCCCGTACTGATGAACACACACACACAGACAGATAACAGTTTGTGACTTTCTAACATCTTCTTTTTCTTCTCTACTCTAGATCCTACAGTTCTTACCTTTGCGATGCGAATACTGTTGACCCACTGTTGGAGGTTCCTGACGTCATCGCAGCACAGGTACTTGATGTACTGGGACTTCTTCTGGATCTGAGGGTGCTGCAGATCCACATACCAACACATGATCAATAACATACGGGACATTGTACAACAGCTGCTACTGCTATGACATCATCATTTATAATGGAACTTCACATCAACACATTCAAATAAACCACCGGGTGTTTCGGGTAGAACGGAGGGGGAAATGGAGATGTAATCCACCCTTTACACCACTAGATGACACTACAGGGTAACAAAGAAAATTGTAACTTCACTGCAAATATTTCTTCACTCCTTCACTGATTGTGTTTAAAGGCTGTCTGCTCACTCTGTTTGTCAATACTTAATGCATTTTTAAAAAAAAAATTACAGTCACTGATGTGGTGGAGAGTCAAGTTTCTCTTTCTTAAAAAATAACAATAAAAGTAATGGTTTTATGGGGTAATAACTTGTGGATTTCTGCTTTACATCACTGTAAAAAATGCAGAGTTGACCAATTAAATGTGATTACTTGAAAAGGTCTGTGTTTCTTTTATATTTTGATTACAGCATTATTAAAAAAATAAAATTATACTGTAATGCTAATTGTTTTTACATTCATATTCACCCCCACCATGGAATACAGGGGTGGCCTTAAATGTGTGTGTTCAAAGAGTGGCTCTACCTGTGTGTTTGTGTGACTGTACCTTCAGCACCATACAGTAGTCAGTGGGAGCCTTGTATTTGCTCTTGTAGTCTTGACCAAGGTAAACATTCACATGGTCCAACTGGAGAAAACACACCAGATCTCTGGACGCCTGTAGAAGGGAAAAAAAAAACAAACACGCAAAAACATTAGTGTTGAAGTTAAATATAAACATCTTGATTTTTTTTTTTTAATGTTCACATGACAAACCTTCGCCTTTCCCTTTGGAACGTAGTAGATTCCAGACGCGCAAGTAACGCTTCTTCCATGGCTTCTTCCCGTCTTCTTTTAGCCACAAGACTCCCTCCATCTCTGGTACGGAGACAGAGCTGCCGCCGAAACACTCCTGTTGTACACACACACACAGGTGGAAACACACGTTAACATACAATAACAAAACAATACAACATACACAACTTGTTTTGGTTTCTGATGTCAGAGACATTTAATGTGGGAAAGATGCGTCACTTGAAGCAGCCGTGATCTCGTTAGAAGAGAATAGAAATAAAATCAACCAACCTCTAACAGAGCCTCCTTGTTTCTCTCAGCCATCTCACAGGTCTCCTTCCGCCCCAGCAAATAGTTCTGCGCACGAGAAAGGAGAAGGTACAAGTTGGATATGAGTCGGTATCACACAAACACAAAGTTTTGATTTACTTTTTGTATTAATTGTCTTCATACCTGAGGGTTTTTGAATAGAGCGTATTTCTCAATGCGTTCTGTGAACATCAGGCGGTTCTGGCTGTCTCTGGTCCAGTTCA